CCCACGATCGTGGACAAATCGCACGTATCGGATCAACCTGCAGTCAGATCATCCGGCTCGATTCCGTCGCCTGGAATAGCTTTCCAGATGATCAGGACTCGCTGCGAGGTCTCCTCTCGGTGGATCTACATGCTCGTGCGCATGGAGAGCCGCACCGCGAATCCGCCGGGGAATGACTTTTGCGGAGGCATCCAGAGCGAGGATCACAGTCGCCCTCAGAAAACTCCGGCGTTAGGTTGTACGTCAACGTGACTCATATCACGGTACTTATTGGTGAATCAAGCCTGTACCGTTGTCTCTCCGACGAAAATGGCGGTACGTATCCTTAATCCCTGCACAGCGCGGTTTCGCGCTAGCACCCGAGCTGCCACCGCACAGACGCCGCAGTTGGATTCTCCAAGAGATTCCGATCTTGATTCCGGACCCGTTAGGAGGGCCGATCGGACTAAGGGCGGGAATGTGAGGAAATTTCCCCCGGAATCCATCGAATGGTGACCTGATGAACACTTCCGACAGTTTCCAACACGCGTCTGGGAGAATGAGCTTTCGGCTCACTACAGACGACGGGACAACCGGAGAATCGTCGAACACCGAAGAGCGTGGGATTTTTTTCACGGTCCTCCGACCGGAAACTCGCTGTTAGTGAACAATTGACGTGGATCGTAGAACCGCAAAAGACACTCGAGATTCTCGTGCGCCGGTGCCGTTCCTTCCCTGGCCCAAAGTCCATTCAGTGAACTCATCTCCTGAAAATGCAATCTCGTGTTGGAACGTCGTGGTCTCTACGACGTATTCCTTTTTCCTGGATCCAATGATTGTCATGTATTGAAGAAAGTCTTAGAACATTGTAGTTTGCGGTTCTGATTTACCTTTCGAGCCCAGTGCGTCGATCAGAGAGCACTGTCGCGGAGCCTCGCGAAACACATCGGCCCCCGTTTGGACACAGTTCAATGTGCCATCAATTGGCGTGATATCACTCTATTCGAGCCGAAGGGAGGTCGGGAGTCGGGAGCCGGTTTCCCCATTGCGGAAATTCATCCTCCCGCAGCTCATGTGGCGCCCTCGCGACTCCTGGGGGCGCAACTCTCCACGTGAGAGCCCGGGTTCTTGGAGCCGGCTTCCTAGAGAAATTAAAGGTCTGCCCCCCTGCTGCGGCGCATGCGCCGTATGTCACGAATAAAAGAGAGCTCGACTGCTCTCCCTGTCCAGACCGTGTTCGGTCGGCACTGGAAGAGGATGTATCCCTTGGACACTGTGAGAAGCAAGGTACGGTTGAATTAATTGGTCATTATTCCTGTGACTGATCCAGGTAGCCAGGGACGGGGATCTACATCTTGGCGGTCGCACTAAGCAATGTCCCGAATTTTGATCTCGGGGCAGCGTCTTTTGAGTTGTGGAGATCCCGCGTGCGTCCAGTTTTCCTCTCCCTGGAGCCTCCATCGTCGAGTATCGAAGTCTTGGGTCGCGAATCTGACCTGGTGTCAAGCTCTGGTCTAGCATACAGATCTTGGAATAGAACTTTAGGCTCTCTTTTCCCGTTTCCAGTTGGATGTTGCCGAGGGTGACGTGATCTCTCTGCTCCAAAAATTCAAGGCACTTCAAGAGGAGCGGATTTACACCTATAATCTATTCCACGAGTGAGTAGCTTCCACGCATCATACATAGTTGTCACCTACAAAATGCTCCCGAAACGCTTCGCGTCTCCCCGCTCCGCCGCAGAAGAATGTCGTTGTTGATATAAAGAACAAGCTTGGATAAACCTTATCTGACCTCTTCGCCATGTGCTCCATTATGACGCCTGTCTCGTTCATGAATATCTCAGAAAAATTGGCGCATGATAAGGTGGTCTAGTTCGGGTTTCGAAACACTGGTCTTATTCCGGGAGCCGCGGAATACCCACGTGCGAACCGTTCGTGGAACACTGCGTTCAAGAAGTGTAATAGTAATATGATACTCGACGAGGCTCGCTCGAAATATCTACACTGTCAACGCGCGACCCTGGACACGGAATCGGGTGCGGCGATTCTGGAAGGGACGTTTACTGCTCCATTCAGTCAGACACGATGAATCGCGTCTCATTAGATTTTTGAAGACCTACCATTTCCCTTTCCAGGGGGCACGAATTATACCTTGCGTCCGCGCCCAACTATAATTTTCCTCAATTCCACCAAATGGTCCATGACTCATTCATCATGTATCATTGAACTCGAAGAGAGGATTCAGACCGATCGATCCGGAACTCGCCTCAGTCATCCAGCACTTGCAGGTTCGTGTGCGATGCCCTCGAAGTCTCAGGGAAGTTTCGGGGAACTCCTCTCAGAAATGTTGCCTTTCAATCAGGTCCGTTCCAGAAGTCCACCGTTTTCACGATTATACCCGGAACTTGTTTCCAGGAAGCCGAGAAAACTAAGCTGCGAGTGACCGCCAGGAAACGACTCGCTGAACAGAGGCTCCAAGACAGCCCAGAAGTGAACCGTGGGACCGCAAAGACCTGCATCGAACGCACGACTGGCCCGTGAAGCCTCATCGACTCGCTGGACTCCACGATCGACGACTCGACCGCGAAGACAGACTCCCGCTATAGCAGAATTTTTTCGAATCTCCCGCCTAACGATCATTCGTGGTCGGCAGCTCCGCTCGAATCGAGCCATTGAATGATAAGAAAAAAACGTCAGTGTCCAAATTCATAAAATCAGAAAGCGCAATCGCGTTTATCGATGTTTGCGGCCTTATCGGAGTGCTTTGAAGGTTTATTGAGAAGACTACGACCCCTGGGAACTTCTTTGATTGACGGCGAAGTTTCGGGAAAAAGGCCTACCATGGGTTCAAGGACTCCACCGTCCATAGATTCTCCGCAGAACTCTCCGACAACACGCTCACGGAAACAGAAAAAATCTCCTCTGGAAACTCGTTCACGGAAATCGAAGGGTCGGAGACAGCCTACGGTTCAAAAGCCTGTTTTCAGCAAGATAACCGTGAGAACGGTGAAACGGGACAAAATCATGAAATCATTACCAGAGTCCAACAGCTCTAAATCAGAAGAATCGGACGACAACTTCATGGCACACTTGTTCAAACCAGCCGCAACGAAGAAAACACAGTGTGTTCAAACAAGCATAGCTTCCAAAGGCACCGAGAGGAACCTTCCAGCCGACAGAACCGACACGAGTTCAATGTGGAGGCGCCGGGAGAAAAACACGAGGAAAATTGGCTCGAAGAAGTATCATCTGCATCTAGACCCCGCGAGAAAACTCGATAGTTCGTCAGCTCCTCTCAGTGCACGCGTAAGGAGGAGACACGGTACTCCCAGACGAAATTATCGTCTCAGAGCCATGTCGTCGAACTCGACAGATGCGGAACGCGAGCCAGCCAGCAGAAAGGAGCCTTGGGAGAACGGTATGTCTGGTGCCCCAAAGCCCAGAAAGCAAGGTGTCAAGACTTTCCCCCCACCCCAGTCCGAAACTTCCTCCGCGTCCTCGGCGGACGACGGTGTCTCACATCCGCAGATATGGCTTGATTAAATTGCTGTTCCCAGAATCAGATCTTGCTACCCCGATAGATGAGTGAATTTAGGAAAAGAATTTCTTGCGAGGACGATATTCCCTGAATTCTCAGCATGTGCTATGAGGGTGCGAGCTTAAAAACGCGCCTCTGATTCATCTGTTTATACCGTCGATCCAAAACTTCATAGGATGCGCCGATCAATCAACTAAGTCAACAGCCGATCGATCGATTAATTCCTACCTACTTATATACCTCCCTACATACCCACCCGATCATCATAAGACCTAAATACAACAGCGCAAACAGCGACGAGCCAGCCGGCAAGTCAGTCAGCGAAAAAGCAAGCGAATGCGTCTGCAGACTCTGCGATGTATAGTCCCCTACGAATACTCAATATCGGAACATATCCCGACGATTATCCACAAGGAGAGCAACATATCCCAAGAAACAACAAGAAGTGAAACTACAACAACAACAACAAACAAACAATAATAAGTAAAACAATAAGTCGAATAAACTACCGTTAATCTACATCTAGTGGAGCGTGTCTTCATTGACGCTTCGGGTGCGTTTCAAAGTTCCAAGTTATCTATCCCATCCGAAATCCACCTATTCACCTTCCTCGGAGACTATTCGAGAATGATGTTATTATTGTGAGTTCGAGATCCTCATTCAGTGAGAATCGCTCAGAGTAAGTGCAAAATAATTTTTCTCGCTGATCCTGCCTAAATGGTCCCTTTATTCCTCTTCACAGACGCCGAACACATATACGACCGCGTAGAGGTAGAGGGAGGGTCTCATATTCTTGCCATCAGCTGTCGGAGCGTGGTCGGTGGCGAGACAACGCTTCTTCATTTTTGTATCTCAATCGTAGGAGAATGTCTGAGTGGGATCACACGCTGCAGTTCTCTGCGAATTGGGGCATGGCCGAAGTGGCGCAGGCTTCCCAAGGTCCCGAGAAGGTCTTATCAGGGACGAAAAGGGGCAGAAAAGGCGGAGAGAAGGAAGGGCATTTTGAGGTAATGGGAATTTTCGGAGGGGGTCTAAAGGTTTCAGAGGGTGCGGAAGAGTCTCGGAGAGCATGCGCGGCTCCGTCGGACGACGTGTCTCGTGAAAAGAGTGGAGGCCGTCCGGCCCTGGACAAGCGCGCAGCTCGTTCCGGGCAAAAAGTGTTTGTCATGCATGAGGTGCTGTCCGGGTCGGGCCTCGGGAACGTCGAAGGCTCAGAAGCCAACAGAAACGACGGTGGCATGTCGACAGCGATAGTTGCCTCCCCGTCGTTCTCCCGTGCTAGGTGAGGGGTGAGCAGGGGGAACAGTTAATCGAGCCGCGCAGCAAATACACAGAGCAATGTGCCACCGACACCTCCATGACCTTCAGCGTGGCGAGAGCCCTCGCTGGCTTCATCGCGAGCGCTGGAATCAGGTCTTACCGAGTGGGAACAAAATAAGATCACCTTCTTCCAGCTTTCGAGGATGATGAATTTACCAGTAAAGATATTACGAATTCAGGAAATCTCGCAGCGTGAGAAAGTGGGCTCCGAGATCAGCAGAGGGCTAAAATCTTCGACGGCCCTCTGAAGGAAGAACATGGGAATGGAGAATGTGAATGATCTCGTCAACTGGAACGGGGAATTATCTGAGTGATATTTACGCCCCTCTTCCCTGATCCGCTATACATCGATACTGAGAGGAATTTCCACAGATTCGAGCGACGCTCCAAGAGATACATATACGAAGAATCAAGCATGCCTCCCGAGGGAGAGGGTTCGGTGATACGAAGGAGGAACTATCCTGGGATGGTGCAGCATTCGAACTCGTCCAGGAATTATACTCCAAGTGGCAACGGATACGCATCGGCAGCGGAGGGCCTCAGCCCAAGTTCAGAACAAAAACTGCAACTTCGTATTACCACAGTCGGCTCGTTTACTCGACCTCGCAGCAAGAGCGCTCAAATATCATCAGGCTCGCACGACCCGGCTCATGGATAGACTCGGGTGCGCAAACTAAGACCCATCATAGAATATCGTCTGACAGGTTGAACTAAATCCCAGAGATCCTCGTTTTTTGTAGCTCGGGCGTCAACCGGCGCTACTTCGCCGTCGGTCGGAGCCGAGGTGGGTCGAGGGAGCCGCAGCGGATATTTTTCGACCGACTTATGTTTCTCTCCAATCCTCGGAGGAGGAACTCGTTCAGGTGAGAGTCCGTGCTTTCCAGCTTTATTCTGTTTAGATACCATCGAAAGACAACTATCGGGGACCTCGAGACGTATTCGGAAACTTCCGGAAACAAGAGGGAGGCTCAAAGCTCTCCCACATCTCAGAGAAACTCATGCGGTAGATTAGAAAAAATGTGGAGATACGCAGGGGAGCGCTGAATACGAGAGAAAGTATCTGTGTGCTGTTAGTACGGGGAAAATATCGGGAAGAGGAATGAATACATATGTACACATCGCAGCGTGAGGGCGTTTGCTTCGTACCGGGTCCGGCCAAGGAAGGAAAAGAAGCGTCGTTCAGCGAGTTCGCAGCCGTGGGCGAATACTTACAATAGCTAATATCACGATGTCCTGTAACGACGGGAGGAGAGCCGTCCAACAAATAAGACAAATTGTGCCATTCCGATTCGCCCCTCCGCCGGCGCCGTTTCCTTCCTCGCTCAGCTCTGTCTCCTCTGATGGAGAGTCTTTCCCCGACGGGACGCCAACCGAAACCGACGCCGACACAGGAGGCTCTCATCATCATCCTTCTTCCCGAGCAGGATCCCTCGCGTGTATCCGCAGTCTCCAGCTGGATGCATGATCAATTTCGTTGGATGAGTTATTATAAACCAGCGTAATGAGCATTGAATTCATCAATGTGCACTGTTTTGTGTGAAAGAGTAAGGCTCCGAAGGTGAGCCCAACGACGGCAAGCACAAAAGCAAAGACCGTCGTTCCGGTCCGTACTGTGATTGACTCCACAGTATGGCGGATACTTGGCGCTTTGGGGATGCATAGGCGTATACGCCTAATCAAACTTTTTCGGGCTAGACCACACAGCCAAGGTTTAACGTCCCGGGTACTGTTATTCACATTGCTCCCGAGGACGGATCCAGAGAGCAAATGTACCTAGGAGGATCAAGGCCGAGTACCTGCATATTTTTCTGGCAGCAGGGATCGAACCCACACCGCCTCCCGCGCGAGCGGCGTCGTTGCGGCCATGCACGTTTGCTTCGAAAAGTGACAAACGCGCTAACCACTCGACCACCGGTCGGTTGCAGGCGTATGCGCCTAATCAGACGTGCAAAACTCAGAACATCCCTAACATCGACATTTCGCAGCATTGAAAAGGGTTCGGGGAACACCCAGCCAGCCGAAATTTCTCATCCGGACGTCGAAGTTCCCAATTGGCTTTAGGCGTGAGTCAGGAATCGGGATTTCACGAGGAGGCAATGGCGCTCATGCTTATAATAAATTGGACATTCATGTTCCAGGAAGATTTTCGGGTTCGTAGGGCATAATGCATTCTGTTCCCTTAACGAAACCTCTGCAGTGATCACGCGTCAGCCCTGAAATGAGATATTTGTCACCGAAACCACCGTGGAAACCCCACGGAGTCGTTTGGATGAATTCGGCACAGAAAAAACGCTCTCGGAGCGGCGGACAGTCCTCCTCGTCGTGAGCTCTCTCGCGCGCCACCGGCCCGGGCCGGGACGCGGCCACGATCGATCGAGATGCGCCGACCCAAACACTCCCTCGCGTTAAAGTTGTTCACATTGGTGCCAGAAGAGGAAAGCGATCCTTCGTACGGTTTCGCATCCTGTTTCGGGTTTTTCGGCAGATCACCCGTCATGCGTCAGACTCGCTCAATCTCGCACCGATCGCGCCGGGAAAATCGACCCTCGCAGCCTGGATATCCTGGTAGCGCTTGTCGAGCGCCCGGTGATAGCACTGGCCAAACGCCAGCTCATTGACGACCGTCTACTCTCGGATACGCGGTGAGCATGCTCACCTGGCTTGTTGATGTACCTATATGCCTACACAAGCATTCCGGAGCGTGGCCATCGGCCGCGCGAGGGGGTTCCACTCTCGCCACGATGGAAGCCGTAGCCAAACCTTTGTTATAATTCCTTATGTTCTGCTTGTAGCTGTGCGATGTGGAGCTGTGACCTATGTAGGGATCGATCAAAGCTTGCGGAAAATAATATATAGGGGGGATATAGGGGGCATATCCGATCGATTCCATTCTGGATGAGAGAAAAATCATTGCGAATTTCCCCTATTCCCGGAAAATCGCGAAAAGGAGCCAAGCCGTTCTCCATACCATTTGCCAGCCATAACCCGGAGGGGATAGAGTGGCCGCCTCGCCGTCGTATCCCCCTGACTTCTGTTACACGATGCAACGCATACGACACTCCACAGGAACGCTTATCGCAGCGAACATCAGCGATATCCGCAAAATTGCAATTGTTGAGCGAGTCCTGCAGTCGGACCGCTAAGTGGAACACCCGGAGAACGTCTCGGGTGTTCTACCACGCTCCGTTTTTTCCTCAATTTTTGGCGGAAAGATAACGTTCGCGCGCGGAGCTCTGGGAGAATTCACAAACCTGCCGGTGGTCATCGCAAGCGGAGCGTTCGCTCCAATCGGAGAGCCTGACGTCGCATGCGATCGTCAAACGAGCCCCCCTCTCCCCGAGATGGGGGGGCGGGGGCTGAATTCGAGATAGAGTAGTTCGTTCGAATGTATGGCATTCTCCTTATTACATATTCCGCTTGATATGATGCAGCGGTCCGAACCGATAAATCAGTCAGTAAGTCTGGATGACAGATCGATCCGTGTTCGCGGGACAGACACGGCACCCCTGATCACAATGGCACTGGAATTCCTCCGGAGTTCAGAGTTTAGAGCCAGCGGAATCTGGCTCAGCATCGCGAGAAAAAAGTTCGCGGTAGAAATCGGGTCGATCCAGACAGAGAGAGCGTGAGCTTCTCCCGTCTCTCTCTCTCGATTGCGGAACAATTCCGAGAAGCTTCAACTCAATTGCCGCGGAGGTTCCGTATTGCTCTCGATTTAGCGTCTATCGAGTAGAGTTCCGTCTGGAGCCCGAAATAAAATATCGAACTCCCATCGAACGTGATCTTGTATGTTCCATGTCGCTGTCGGGCTGGATTGCTGTCCAGGTGCAAGGGGTCCTCGATTAAAAACGGCGCTTAAGAGGTACAAGGCAATGCGAATTCCATCGTTTTTGTCCCCCTCTCTCCTTTATCGAACGGCGGCGCGTAGCACAATCAGACGATTTCTTTTAACGAAGATTCCGACGAGCTCCATTGTGATGACGGATATTCATCAGTGTTTGCGTTGGGAGATCATCCGCTCTCTGCGAGGGTAAATTGTCTCGATCCAGGACCTCAGAAGCTGCCTCGCTCGCCTATTCCGTCACCTTTTCTTCTCTGGCCCGACCGCTGGATGCAGTTTCCAGTTCGATTAGACGAGCAGGCCCACCAGATGATGCAGTTGTTGTATTTGCTTATGATAAGATCTCGCGATGATTCTGCGGGGGATGGCGCAACTTCTAATTGGACCGCGCACACGATTCCCAGCGCGCCAGCGGCGCGAACCCCCAATGTAATTGGAACCATGAAGTTCGGAGAGAGAGCTACCCCAGTGAGACAATGGAACGGAATTTCACCGGATCGGAGCTCCGATTTCCACCGGATCGGGACCGCCATCGATGACCGCGAGGAGGGGGCCGATGCTAATGAGTAATGAGTCCATGCGACCATGTGCTGTTTAGACGCTATACCTATTCCTTCTACATATATGTCGTCTCGATTCCCTTAGTCATAGGGAGAAGCTCACTTCGTACGTGATTGATCGATTGATCGCCGAAGTCCTCTCCGTCCAGCTAATTGATGAGGTCCTGGAATCGGAGGACCATTGCACCCGATGTCCGAGTGGGGTGAACCCCGGCTCTCTAAGCCAAAGTGCTCAGAGCCTCAGTATCTGATTGGAATCCCCATTTCCAACAGTAACTCGAATTAGCAGAGGCCGATATACTTCACGAGAATCTTAGACCCGCCGTATGGAATCGATCAGAGGGGATGCTCCCATCAGAATTTCGCGGAACAAAGTTCCGTGTCTTCATGAGGCGTATCATCGATTCCTGATGCGTTCCGGCGGACTGCGAAGGATGAGCTCCACCGATCCTCACAGGAGCATTTATTAGTATCTGTACATCACAAAAATAAAGTCGGTGGATCTCATTCAGACTTTTTGGCGAGGTCAGTCTCGACCTTGGGCTTCGGGAAGAAGAATAGCGCGAATGCGAGGAGAGTGGTTCCGTATGCGATCAGGATCGGGACAGAGACGCTCGCATTCAGCGTAGAAATGCTTCCGCTGAGAACTAAATTTATCGCGCCGGTCAGAATGTTCCCGAGGAGGAAAATCCAAATTGCGCCTTTGTTCACCGCTTGCACGATGTCGTCGACGGTGTCCACCTGTAATAAGCAACACTTCAAGTCAATCAGATGAGCGGCAACCCTCTCCCACCCTGAATGATTCCTGAGACGCTAGTATGCATTCGTTTATGTTCCGAAGCGTGGGATAGCTTGCAATCCCTGGAGATTATGATGCGCAAATGATTGGGCTGAGAAAAAATAAACCAAACCCCACCTACCTCAGGGTTCAGATGTTGGAGCGTCACCAGATTGTAACCTCCGCACGACGACACGAGATCAATAAATCTTATTAGAGAGGCCATTATCAAACAAATGAGGAAGATTGACAGCACCCACAGACTGTAGGGCAGGTTGAACAGCCTCCTCGAAACGGGTACTGTGTCATTGTGCATGAGCAGCGCCGTTGCCATGCATGATGATGACAGGAGGATCATTTGGAACACGAAGTAGAACCACTCGGACTTGCAATTCCTGCACGGAAATAACGTAGGTACTTGCTTGGGCGAAAAGCAGTCAATAGTGATGAGACATCATACGAAAATCCGATATGACCGCTCGGGTGTAATCACACTACGATCGATGGCACGCCGCGCCGGTCAGAAAACCATGTAGCTTTCAGCAAGACCGAAACTTCATAACATTGAACGTACTTGACTTTATATACAAATCTCTGACAGACGGCCGATGTCAGCAGGAACAGGCATGAGGATCCAAATATGGACGCAAGACCCTCTTTGTTGGCCATCAAGAATCCCTCACGATCCAATGAATGGAGCAGAAAGTGGAGACTTTGCGATTGCAGCGCCAGCTGATAAGCGAGATAAACCTGCAATCAGATAGACTTCAGTCATATGCATTGGTTTTCCTAATCTCCGCAGAAGCTGAGACCCACGGTCAGACCGAGAATCGATCGAGACCTCTGTATGGAAGCAAACTTGAGTATCTCTCGCGAATCCGGGAAGCCTACCGCTGCACCGACGAAAAAGTCCCAATGCTCTGGGAAAATCGCGTAGAATGCTGCGCAAATCGCTTTTGTCGCCGAAAAGCAGAAGAAAAAGTTCAGATGCTTCCCGTATTCGAGTATCGGTGATTGGTAATCGAACCAGGTGACCATCGCGAGTCGCAGCAGCCCGAGGAGAATCATCCAAAAAGCGCTTTTCATCTCGGAGCGGAATCGTTGCTCTGCAATAATTGAAATATCAGGTCGAGGGCTTCATCTTTGCTTCCAAGAATCCACGCTGCTTTGTGGATCAAAATGCCCTTTTTCACGAACTTTTTTTGATGACAGAGAAGCCAGCCGCGAGGCAGACGAAAAGACCGACCCCAATATCCATGAGACTGAAGCCGTGGGTTTCCGTTTTGGCGTAACGCTTCGGAAATATCGGAAAGTCAACGGCGAGAATGCAGTACAGAGTTAGAGTCACGGTCAGAGCTCGAACATAGGACAGGGGTATGAAATACGAGTGATGATGAAGTTTCCCGCTGCTGCAAAAAGGAAATTGTCGTGTTGGTAATTGTCGAGCTCAGCTCTCTCACGGATGCGAACACGTAACGATGGAAGCTTACCATTCGGGAGGAGGGTCGTGGATTACTCTTGCCGTCTTCGCTCTCCGATGCGCCGCGAAGGTCAGCATCGTCCCGAACATTATGTTCAGAGATATCAGGATCATGCAGATGTTCGTGAATTGTTCGGGGAGCATGAGGGCCATGAACGAAGGAAAACAGAAGAGAAACACATCCGACGTCCATCGTAGCCTAGAAGAAAATACAATCATTCCCGGTATTCCGCTCCCGTAGAGCTTAACTCTCCACCTCCATCTCAAGACACAACTCACAATTTGCATTCGAATGAGACGAATCTCAGAAGACTCCGGATGAGTGTCTGATTGAAAACACTAAGAATTATGATTCCAAGGATGGCGAGCACTTCGTAGAACTCACAACCCGCGCCCCCGGACGTGAACTTCTCGTGCATCGCACGTCGAGAAGCCCCGCTTGCCCTGCAAGAGAAGGAACGCCTGGAAGTTGCGGTGAAAAGCTCTCCTAGGCCGGGTGGCCACATTGCTCGAGCATCTGCCCCTTCAGCAGACTGGAGCATCTTCCCGTACCGCGCTTCTCCGGACGTCGCGTCGCATGCAAGTGCTCGACATCCATTGCCCCCATGCCCCATTCGCTCGAGGATACCCAATAATACCCATATGATAGACCTCGGGCTCGAGAGTCGAATCTGACCCGAGTGAGCTCTCAGGAAGAAACAATTGACAGTCGGTTGTCGACAGGGGGAAGACTGTCAAAAGGCAAGCCACGGCCTCAGGACTCCCGAGCCATCCCGTGGGTCGAAGAAGAGAACTTTGATGGACGATAGCCCAACCGAGAGGGGCAGGATTCGAGCACTACAATCATTCTCTTTTCTTCAGGGTGACGTTTCATCCTCACGGTTGGAACTGCCCGCCATTCGAGTTTTCGGTCTCGGAATTTATTGACCGGGATATTCGAGACATGAACAAGTGGGACTTGGCCACGGATAGGCGATTTTCAAACCGTGAAACCATCCTATCGCTCCTTGGATCCTCATTGTCCTGTCCAAGAGCTCGTTGATGTTTCTCGTCCTTGAATGTGCACGCGGGAGAGAGCAAATAAATTTTGTGCAAGTATATCATCAGCTACGAGAGGAGACTCGAACCTTTGCTGCCAAAATCAAGATACAGAGAGCTCTCGTCACGTACCTGAGCACATCATCATTGGAGCAGCACGTTTCCAAGTGCATGGACTCAAATGACATCTTTTTCACTCATTCTCTTTCTTTTTCTTAACCTGAAGTGACGGCACCACCCCCACAGTGTCAGGTGGACGCACTCCCGCTACTAGAGACGAAGAAGAAAAATCAATAACCGAACCCGAGCTTCCTTCTTATCGGTGCACTCACATTTCCTCAAAGTCAACTGTTGTCAGATTTCATTGGCTTCGTTTACCTCGGCGGTATCTGCAGATAAGATCGTTGCGGTCTCTACAGAAAATTATTCGGCGATGGATGTGGCCGAAACATGGTCGCACGTGTTCGATATCAGCGCGCCTGTCAGAAGCAACAACTTGACGACGCCCCACGATCGTGGACAAATCGCACGTATCGGATCAACCTGCAGTCAGATCATCCGGCTCGATTCCGTCGCCTTGAATAGCTTTCCAGATGATCAGGAGTCGCTGCGAGGTCTCCTCGGTGGATCTACTTGCTCGTGCGCATGGAGAGCCGCACCGCGAATCCGCCGGGGAATGATTTTTGCGGAGGCATCCAGAGCGAGGATCACAGTCGCCCTCAGAACACTCCGGCGTTAGGTTGTCGTCAACGTGACTCATATCACGGTACTTATTGGTGAATCAAGCCTGTACCGTTGTCTCTCCGACGAAAATGGCGGTACGTATCCTTAATCCCTGCACAGCGCGGTTTCGCGCTAGCACCCGAGCTGCCACCGCACAGACGCCGCAGTTGGATTCTCCATGAGATTCCGATCTTGATTCCGGACCCGTTAGGAGGGCCGATCGGACTAAGGGCGGGAATGTGAGGAAATTTCCCCCGGAATCCATCGAATGGTGACCTGATGAACACTTCCGACAATTTCCAACACGCGTCTGGGAGAATGAGCTTTCGGCTCACTACAGACGACGGGACAACCGGAGAATCGTCGAACACCGAAGAGCGTGGGATTTTTTCACGGTCCTCCGACCGGAAACTCGCTGTTAGTGAACAATTGACGTGGATCGTAGAACCGCAAAAGACACTCGAGATTCTCGTGCGCCGGTGCCG